ATTTTCCACTTCTAATCACTACATTGCAAGACTTCCCAGCGAATCTCTGCTAACCGATGTCTGAATAAAAACGATATAATTAAATTGATTAGAATATTTTAGAAAATCTAAACAGAAAATGGAGCCAGGATGGGGGAAAAATTGTGGTCACTAAAATAGCTTGGGCGCTTGAGCGTTAAATATAAATTTGTAATTAAAGGAAAATGAGGCATGAAACAACCTGTCAGGGAACGTGGGTAGTGATGGAATAAAGGGAAGATGTTTTCTATTCTCTGCCTGGTATACAGAATAATTAGCAGCCAATGTGACAGTGGAAACATATAGATTTCAGCGTTGATATCACATTAATATCATCACACCTTGAATGAAAGCCAGAGGGACTGTGCTTTTTGTGCACTGATAGACAACCAATCATGCTTAATTGTCTTTGCTTTCATAGCAGCTGCAGTCTCTCTCATATTAAGACATATTCCATTCAAATCTCCAGGACAAGCATTTATAGCCTGAGCTTATCAAGTGGACAAAGGGTCCCGTTTGAATAATTGGACCATTTCTTATCAGGGGTGACATCCTTACAAAGATCTGCCGTTGACCGCATCTGCCCAGACAGGAGGGAATGAATAATACCTCATTCATTTGGGCCCGAAGCTTGGCCCTCATCCTCAGGGTCAGACCATAAAATAAAGAGTTTGAGGGACAAAAACAGAGGAGCAGATCCAATACGGAATATTTTGCATGCTTGAAACAAACACTCCTGAAGTTTCCTAACAGTTGTCAGGTTTTCGTACATATGCTAAATGCCAGTCACGAGTGTAAGCTGCTGTGGACACTTCTACGCCTTTGTGCTACAATAATGTTAAATGATGCATAGTCAAAAGGTCATGGTAGAGGTGAGTCTAATTAAAGTGGCAAGCCCATGTGGCGGGGTGGGGGTGGAGATGTCAAAGCTTAAGTTGCTGTGTCTGTTTGCAAAAGCTGCGTGTGGTTCAGAAGACTATGAATATGAATCGGTAAAAGGTGGCTCTATTCCAGGCTGCCACTGATGACACCCACCCTGTAGATGTAGTCCAGCAGCGGGGCCTTGTGGGCTGTGTGGTCCTCCAGTGACGGCATGGTGATAGGCTCAAGCAGCAGACTCAAGGGAACAGCCATGCACCAGTCCAACAGGCAAAGCAGAAGCGATACCATCAACTACAGTGTGAGAAATGAGAGAGAAGTTCCTAATTTATTTCAGTCACACACTAACAAATAAAAGATATATTATTAACAAAGCAAAAAAAGAAAAAAGAAAAAAGAAAAAAAAGAGTGGCAGCGGATAACAGGTGAGAGCATCAAAGACGCAGTGGAGAACGAGGTCGAAGAGAAAACAAATCACTTCAGTAGAAACATTCCTCTGCAAATGCACCATTCCAACATGATAGATCAAGAGCCTTTAGATCTCAGCCATTTCATGTCCCATCCTTTCCAACATGTACCTTTTTGTCCGCTTCCACCGTTGAGTGCTCTGCGCTCGGCAACAAAAAGGCTATTGTGGCCACAAAGATCTGTATTGGGACAAAACAAGGAGAAAGATAATTGGATGACACACTCCCATTCATCATCTGAGTCAGGGCTGATTGCTAAAACAGAGACGAAACCACAGGATGAGGACTGTGCACATGAGCGAGCGACAATTTGTGTAACGTTTGCATTTAAATGCTAAAAGTTATTTCAAAGGAATTTCTCTTATTGGATGTGAAACACATTTACATGGGTTACATCAAACAGAG